TGTCTTCAAATTCCAGTATAACAGAAATTAGCCAAAAACCAAAACCCTTGTTATAAATTTTCACATTTTTATTGCCACCAAATATGCCACTATAATGCCACTTATAGTATAATTCACCCTGTATATCTTTGAGAGAGTGAACTCTAAAAATTATGGTTTAAAATTTAAAAGAGTATTAGTTGTATTTTCTATTTTTTGATTCTAATTGAAAGTTATATATATATATAGGTATATATATATATATATATATATATATATAATATATATATATAATATATATATATATATATATATATATTATATAATATTATATATATACATACATATATATATATATATATATATAATATATATATATATATATATATATATTATTTCCCACTTACGTTTCTATAGGTAATACATTTTTAATCTAGTCTCCATAGGATATAATGCGATCTGTATAACATTGAGATACGGTAGAGCAATTTCTAGAAGCGGGGTTATCCATTCCTGAGAATGTGTATTCCTGGGAATGTTGTGTTCGGGAAATAGGGAAGAGGATTGAGCATATCCAACATTAAGCATAATGGTAATGATTTAGGAACTGTGAACCGAAACTCCAACGGGGACATCTATTTCAGAGTCTGGAAGGTGAAGCCATTACCTGGTCAATTACATTCAATGTAATTGAGGTTTGGGAACTGAAGTTATAATTGAAAACTGTCGCATAGACGATATTTCCTTAAAACTTCGCAATTATCTAGTCCTTTGTGCTGTTATCATTATAAAAATATCTTAAAAAGTAATAATATTATTAAGAATATTCCGAGATATGATTTTAGCTTTCATTATTTTTTCCATCATAATTACATTTTTTTAATAAGTATACTAAAATGCAAAACTGAAAAATTCTCCTGACCCTTTTCTCAAATATCTCCTGGCCTACTGGGAAGACATTTACAAAACACTTTGATAATTTTCTTAAATAAAATTGTATATGTACTATTTTTGATACACAATAACGACAATTTTAATTGAACATACGTTTATTTCGATGTTTTCATTTTTTAATTCGGAAATAGTTCTCAAAATATTTTTTTAGACATACTTTAATATATTTATATATAACATATATTATGTACATATATATATATATATATATATTATATATATATATATATATATATATACAGTAAGGTCTCGTTTTATGCGGTGGATAAGTTCCACAGAAGAGCTCAGAAACTGGTCAACATATTTCTATTCGTTTTTGTGACTATATATATGGTACAAGAGATGCACAAAATGTAAAAATAATTACTGGAAACAAAGTAGTAAACGAATGCATATTAGTAGGAACATGGAATTTAAGAGGAATGTACGAGGAAGGAAAACTAAAACACATAATCAACGAATGCAAAAAACACAAGTAATTAGGGCAAAACTCAATGGAAATAAACGACTATTTATTTTTCAACAGCGGGGGAGAACATAGAATGTTAGGCACATGCTTTGTGGTAAATAAAAAGCTGAAAGATCTAATCATTGACTTTAAACCAATTTCAGAGAGAATATGTGTATTAAGAATAAGAGGAAAATACCAAAAAATAACATTTATAAATATACATGCACCGACTGAAGACAAAAGTATAGAAATAAAGGAAGACTTTTATAATCAAATAGATACAGTATTCGAAAATATCCCCAAATACGATGTAAAAGTAGTGCTAGGAAATAGTAATGTAAAAATAGGAAAAGAAGAAATATACGTACCCACCATAAGAAAATACAGGTTGCATGAAACAACGAACGAAAATGGTCACTTCCTAATTGATTTCGCGAAAGAAAGAAATATTATTATTATGAGCACGTACTTCCAACACAAAAGAATACACCAAGGAACGTGGAGATCACCGGATGGGAAAACCATAAACCAAATTGATCATGTGCTTGTCGAAAAAGATATGCAAAAATGTATAAAGAACATAAGAACATACAGAGGTCCAGATGCAGACTCAGATCACTTCATAGTTGGAATACAAATGAAACAATTTATTCCAGTGCTTAGAAACCAGCGGAAAAAAAGTATAAAGCAACCAAACCTGTGAGACTACTGACAGAAGAGGAACAAAATAAATATGAAAGAATAGTCCAAAAATAGTAAAAAAGAGGACCAGTACTAATTAAGCATTTGGAAAAGTTGCTAAAAGACATATGGGAACAAGAAAAATTCCCGAAGGAATGGACCGAAGCGACACTGTGCCCTTTTCACAAAAAAGGCGACAAAAGTTTATGCCACAATTACAGGGGAATAGCTCTACTAAATATTGCATATAAAATACTTGCAGTATATATAAAAGATAAGCTATCTCAAAATATAGATAACGACATAGGGGAATAGCAATGTGGATTCAGAAGAGGGCACAGCACAGTGGATCAAATTTTCATACTGCGCGAAATACAAGCAGAAAGCTACGAATATGGGAAACCTACAATGGCCCTATTCATCGACTTTAAACAAGCGTTCGATAGGATAAAACGCAAAGTTAGTGAATTAGTGAAAAACTGATAAGAATGGTAAAAGTGACACTACGAATAACAAAGAATAGGGTTAAAATAAATGGTGAAAAAAACAGATAAGTTTGAGTTCAGTGAGGGGGTGCGACAAGGAGACCCACTGTCACCGCTGTTGTTCAGTATCGTCCTCGAAGTTACCATCAGAGAAGCTGGAATCAACAGGTCAGGACTTATATATCAAAAGAAAACACCAATGCTTAGCATTCGCTGACGACATTGTACTGATAGCCAGAAGTAAGCAAGAATTAAAATAAATAACAAAAAGATTAGAAATGAAAGCGAGAAAGAAAAGGATGTACATAAATGAAGAAAAGACCAAATATATGGAATGGACAGAAAGATATTACCTACAAGAACAATATCTGATAGTAATAACAGATGAAAAAACATATAAATTCGAAGAAGTAGAAATATTCCAGTATTTAGGAACGACATTCACGAGAAGACCAAATATGAAGGAAGAAACCAAGCGAGAATTATGGCCGGTAACCGTTGTATTTTTGCACTAAACAATTTATTAAGAAGCAAAAACCTATCTAGAAGGGCTAAGATAAGAATATATAAGACAGTAATAAGACCTATTGTATTATATGCCAGTGAAACATGGACAATGAACAAATCCGAGCAAATCCTGCTGCAAGTCTGGGAAAGAAAAGTCCTCAGAAAATATTTGGAGGTAAATTATGGAACGGTATATGGATAAAAAGAACAAATATGGAATTAGAGGAGATGTATGGAGAACCGAATATCGTAGGGATCATAAAGTCACAAAGACTGAGATGGTTGGGACACATCCAAAGGATGGGAAACACGAGACTGCCAAAAAGAATGCTAATGGGAGGAATAGGAGGGAAAAGGAAGAAAGGCAGACCGAAAACTAGGTGGAAGAAGGATGTTGAAAAAGACATAGAAAAACTTAAAATACCAAACTGGAAAAATAAAGCAACAAACAGAAAAAAATGGAAAAGAATAGTAAACAAAGCCATGGGCCTTCTAGGCCTGGAGAACTAAATTATATATATATATATATATATATATATATATATATATATATATATATATATATATATCAAGTCGATAAACAGGAAAACGGGGCAACCTGTTTATTTTACTAGTGTTGTTGTTAAAAGTAAACTAATTATTTATGAACTTCACCTGAAGGTGGATGTTTTCCAAAGCTGTTTCATAGTTTAATTCTTCAATAATTTTCCAGTTTAAATCATAATGTTTTTCTATAAATTTTCTAACAATTGCTAAAATCTTTCTAAATCTAAAAGCATGTGATGTAAGAGATTTATCTATTACGAGCGGTTTCAACATCCTATCTCCTGATGTATTGCTACAAAGTATGTAATAATTTTACTTAATCTTTACTTGCTTTATATCCAGTTTTTTCATCCTTGCGAGGTAAGTACGGTTAGGCATTTTTTTCCAATGCAGTCCCGTTTCATCAGCGTTAAATACTTGATTGGTACAACAGTCCCCACCTTCAATACTTTTCGCTCGCTCCTGTGGAAATATTGCTGCTTTATCTGCTGTAGCACTCTCTTTTGTGATTTTGATATTATGAAATGCATTTCTGTTTATAAACCCGATTAGCTATCCTTTGCAAACTGAAATTTGTTTACCAGCTTGGGACGTGGAAGTCGTTGGCTCTGACTGTTTCATTAACTCATAAAACTAAAGAGCTTTTTCCTGGATTCAATAACCACTTATAGGAATTCTTCTTTCAAATAGTCCCTCAATAGTTCTTTCTAATAATACATAACTCGAGTAAGATGAAAATTTGGCGCTTAATTTTGTATTAGAAATTATAGATTTTCTTATAGCAACTACATTCTTCGTAATTGCTCTCACAGTTAATTCGCCTAAATTAAAATATTTTCCATTTGTCGTAGATCCTTCTTTTCCGAAGCGATTTAAAATTGCAATTTTCGTTTTCAATGAAATTGATTGTCCTTGATATTTTTTTTCTCCATTGGGCCAAATAAAATTAAAAAAAAAAAGAAATAAAAAATTAGACTTACGATAATGAGATAGCAAAAACCTCTTATAATGAAAAATAAACCCGTGCTGCTTATTATACGGCAACTTGGAATCAGCAAAATTTTAAACAACTTATTATAGAAGCACAGCTAAGAGAAAAATTATTTTAAAACAATAACAGGTTATGTCTTTCAATGCGAAACTCGCAATATTTATATATATTTCAAAGTAGAGATTTTTTAGAGGTGTCTTCGTGGGATGACTTTATTGGAGGTAAAAATAAGGATTATTTGTATTTAAAAGTATTATAATTACGTACCAGTATAATGTAAACATTTACTGTATCGAAATGAGAATTGACGTTTCTGTAATTGTCCTACTGGAACACACTAACATATTTCAGATTTTTAAAACCCAACTCACCTTAATATTAAAGAATACAAAAAAATATAACTTACCAACGACATGGAGGAATCCAAATTGTGTTTTAGCGGTGACGGTATTAATTTGACACATATAACGACCTTTATCTTCCTCTTGGACTTTGTTAATATGTAGGAACCAAGTTCGGTGTTTATCGTGAGTTACGCTTATTCGAGGATTTCTTGTTATGACGTGGTTGTGTACTGCCAAGATTGCTGATTGCTCAAAATGCATCCAAGCAACCTAAAACAATTCATATAATTAATTAACTGACATGTTATAGTTTTATTAGTAAGAATGGATACTACAAAACTAATAATATGGTTTCTACCAGATATATTTTTGCAAAATATTTGTAATATAGATTTATATCGTTTGGCTGCCTATTTGTTCGGTGTTTATTTGAGTAAAATTTTTTCTTGTACATATGTTTGATACATTTGCAATAACCTAATATGGTTTGATGAGACATTAATAACCTTAAGTCATTGTTTAACTGGTTTATATTTCATGGCCGGTCAATATTTTTTATTTATGGTATAAACTACTAAGTTTTGTATAACACTTGAACATTTATTGAGCGCGTTTGAAACTTAATGCAAAGTACCATGCAAAGACTAGAGCAGTCTTTGCATGGTACTTTCTACATGGTCTTTGAAAAACGTTATTGCTCCATTGTTTTTAGAAGGTATTATTTTAGTGTGGAAAATGTGCGTCGTATTTTTTATCGTCGTATCTACGTTGGCGTGTAAGTTGATTTTCCCAAACCTTATTAATTTATGTTTTTGGCTTGATTTATTAAAATTGCGTTTCGTGTATAACGCCTTTTCTGAATGCTCGAAAAGTGTATTGTTGCATTTTAGGTTGTTACTTACTTTATATCTCCTTAGGCGGTCAGAATAAATGGAGAGTTTTGTTATAATGTATCCATAGATTGTTGAGCTGTGCTATTTTTGGATCCTATTGTGAGTCTCTTCCAGTTTTCAGTCTTGCTTTAGACTTATTATTTTTTTTATTTCTCATTCCTCGAATATATTTCATAATATAACCAATATTTCTTAATTTAATCTTCCTTAGAAATTGTTTTTACCAGGGTTAAATTCTGTTATTAGTTCTTTTGATATTACCCTAATCTTAATGCTCATAATATTGGCAATTTATTTTGCTGCACTTGGGTAGGACTTCAGTGGTAATAATTTGTAACGGCGCACTTAGTTTCTTTCAAGAGTTTATTTTTGGTAGCAGTGATCTGCTAAGTGTGTTTTCCCTATTTAACTCTTGTACTTGCTATTTTACTTACCAAGCTATCTTATAAGTTATTGTTGTTCTGTAGCTTACAATCAGGTTATGTTTTTTGTGTAATAAGCTCAGGAATCTCCTCATGTCTTCCTAATCTCTGGGATAAGAATATTTTTTAAAATTATCTGGTATTGATCTGCTTATCTCTTCAGATACTTGAATATTTGGCTTCCTGCAAAATTTGGCATGCAAATGTCGAGGGCCTACCCATTTTAAACGAAGTTTGTCATCTTGTAGTAGAAGCGCAAAATATTTCCATTCATAAACACCATCCATTTCATATGCTGCATTGGTTGTCTAGCTTGGGTAAGCATCGGATGATGTTTGAGCGCAGCACCTTTAGCGACTGGGATCCGTGGTGTTGTTTGGCTCACTTGAGATTTTTACTGTTGTTGGGCTGTATCTCATTGTATGACAGGAGTTCGACGTCCTATATACAGTCACGTCCAGCACCGATTCCAGACGTGCCCTGGCGAACCTTAGGCAGCGTCACTAAAAGTAATTTATTTTTCGCCATTTTAATGCGTTTGCATTTTATACCTAACTCCGCCTGGGTTGTCTGATGGGTGGATTGAGTAGCTCATCGGATGACACTGCCGATCCCAAGCCCGGATAAAGGAGGAGGGTCCCCATGGCAAGGCTAGCCACCTACCTGGGGTAAAGAAACCCATATTGGCTCACAGAACTGAAGATTCAGCCTCGGATACCGGACGGAAATATCAGATGACGACACACGCTATGACAATGGAAAAACGAATTGGTAAACGAAAACCTAAAGACCCCATCACACGAATCGCGTGCTGGAATATTACGTCGTGGAACGGAAGAGACCAGGAGATCATAATAGAAATGAAGAAACACAATATTGACATCTGCGGAATCTCCGAAACAAAGAAAAAAGGCCAAGGAACATCAAAATACGGAGAATTTATACTCATATACAGCGGGAAAGCTAAACAAGAAAGAGCGCATTCAGGAGTTGGAATTTTGCTGCACGATAAATACTCGCAAAACATCGAAGATATCGAATACATCAACGATAGATTATTAAAAATCTCTATAAAAATGCGTAACATCACAACACACCTGATAAGCACGTATGCCCCAGACATATCTAAGCCCACAGCAGAAACTGAAAATTTCTATCAGCAACTACAAAACGTCGTAGATAACATAAATACGAAACACAAAATTATCGTACTCGGGAATCTTAATGCACGGATCGGAAACGGTATCATACCAGGTATAAAACAAAAGTACAACGAAGAAATAATTAATGAAAACGGCGAAGCATTAATAGACTTTTGCGCTAGAAATGAAATGATAATCAACAATACATACTTTCCTCATAAAGACCAACATAAATACACTTTTAACAATAATCGAGGCCAGCGATTAATGATAGATTTTTATAATCACAAATCGAGCGATAACTCCGTCACAAGTACTTGATGTCAGAGCACTAACATCTGCTAACCTGGGGACTGATCATAACCTTGTTTTATGTAAGATGCTACTAGAAGTTCCGCAACGAAACAGAAAACCCCCAATGTTTCATCGAAAAACATAATATAGAGTCGCTAGCAACAGAGAGTACAAAACTGCTCTATGAGAACAGGATTACCAGCAAACTAAAAGAGATCGACTTAAAACCCGAATGGGGAGTAGAAGATACTTGGCAAAAAATTAAGAAATGCATCAACGAAGCAGCAGAAGAAGCGATTGGAAAGCGAAAAATTAACACGAGAGCGACAAACCACACCAAACCGTGGTTTTGCCAAGAGGTAAAAAAACTCTCTGAATTAAAACGCAAATGCTACCTGAGATACAAAAGCACGCAATCGGAAGAAGCTCATGCAGAATATGTTCAAATAAGAAACGAAGTAAACGCCAGAATAAAACCAATCAAAAGAGAACATTGGGCCAAATTCACTTGCGACATGGACTACGACCTATATGGTGCCCAAAAGAAAGTATGGAAAATGCTCCGCAACAGAAAAAAACCAGTTAACGAGTTCGTGCAGACCAAAGGAGTACCTATAGAGACATGGCAACAGCATTTTAAAGAGCTATATGATGCTGAAGAAACGCTGAATATAAACGAAGGCGAAACAGATGTGAGTGCTACAATCAATGACGAAGAAGTAGAAGCAAAGATCAAAAAGCTAAAAAACAGAAAATCACCGGGAACGGATGGTATACCCAATGAACTTTTAAAATATGGAGGCCCGGAACTTGCAAGTAAACTGGCACAACTATTTAACAAAATATTAAACAAAACAGAAACACCAGAGGAATGGCATAATAGTATCACAATCCCCATATTTAAAAAAGGACAAAAAACCTGCCCACAAAACTATAGAGGAATAACCCTCTTAAATACAACAATGAAACTTTTCACGGGTATTCTCAAGGACAAATTGGAAAAGCAAATCACCAATGCTGAAGAAAAACAAGGTTTTACAAAAGGGCGGTCTATAACAGACGCAGTATTTATAATAAAACAAATAAAAGAAAAAGCTATAGAGTTCGGCATGCCAGCGTATATTTGCTTCATTGATTTGACGAAGGCATTTGACAGAGTTCGCCTGGGAGACATTCTAAATATATTAATAGAAAATAAAACACCGACCAGTATAACAAAGATACTCCATAACCTAAATAACAACAACGTAACCAAAGTTAGAGCAGGAGACGAATTCACTGAAAATATTCCAACACCGGGAGGAATTAGACAAGGCGACAGTTTTAAGCCCCTTCTTGTTTAATCTTCTCATGGGCAAAATTATCAACAAAGTAACATCTCTTAATCTCGGATATAGAATGGGCAACAAAAGAATTGGTATGGTGTGTTACGCAGACGAAGCAGCAATTATTGCCGAATCAAAAGATGATCTCCAAAGGCAGCTCTTTCAGTTCTTTCAAACAAGCCGACTACTAAATATGAACATCTCTACCAACAAAACTAAATGTATGACAATAGCAAAAGATCCGCTCAGATGTAAGTTAGTGGTTGAGGATAACCCCATAGAACAGTTGATGCAATTCAGATATCTGGGCATAGATATATCAAGCACCCACGACCCAGTAAAGGACCTGAGGAGTCAAATCAACAAAGCATCTGCACTGTCAGGATGTCTGCGGGAGATAGTCTGGTCAAATCCGTATATGCGCACAGATAGTAAAATTAGAATCTATAAGACTTGCATACGACCGATCATGACATATGGCATAGAAGTGCGCGAAGATACCAACAAAACGAAACAGATGCTAAGGGTTGCCGAAATGAAAACCCTAAGAACAATAATGGGGAAAACAAGAAGAGACAGAGTGAGAAATACAAACATTAGAGAGCAGTGCAAAATTCAAGATATTGTAAGATGGGGAAGGCAGCGCAAGAGGATGTGGTACAACCATGTAAGACGAATGGATGAGAATAGACTCCCAAAAATTGCCCTAGAAAACAATCCGCACGGTTCAAGTCCCCCGGAAGACCACCTAAAAGATGGAGGGATAGTTGGCAATCTACCTCCCAAGAAATTAACCAGAGGCAGCTTCAGAATTAAACAGATCGAAAGATCTACAAAAAGTAGAAGAAGAAGAAGAAGCATTTTATACCTACTGCTAGGTGTGAGTTTTTATTTCACGGCTAGTGTTACTGCTAACCTAAATGTATCTGTGCTACGAATACCCATAGAATATTGATCATTTGCAGATATCTATGCTATCAAAACGATTATTTTGATTTTATCGAGTGCTGGTCATGTTGGGGTTTTGGAGGCTCTTCAAAATGGTACCAGTAGTTGAGAGAATTATAGATTCCTCTAGACACCTTTCATTCTCGATTGTCCCTGCATTTGAGTTTCAAGATTTCTATACTTAGAGATTTTTCTTTATATTTAACACGTAGATGGAGATGCATATTACTGCATAGTACAACATCA